ACTCTTAGGAGGGAGTAACAGAAAAGAAGATCATTGAGCCCAATATTCACCCCGAGGCGCCTATTGAGCTCTAGGACCCCCATAATTATCCGAAAGACGTTGAGGCAGCATTGCCCGGGGAAGAGACGGAAGCGAGACAGGAACTGAAGAAGCAGGGGGGGTAAAGGAAACCTAATGCCACCCTCTATGATGGCCTTGGTATAGAAAGGCATGGCATCCGCGGCCCCGAAGGTAGGAGAGTTCAACAAAGGGTTAAAGCCCACTACGTCCACGCTCGGGGGGATGCCATACTTCGCCCTGAACCTATCAATCTGTGCCTCGCCTGTCACCTTGTATTTCCCTGACCCCGAGGGACCAGCCGATGGATTCTCGGGAACAGGGCGACGACGAGGCATCTCTAAAAGAGAGGGAAGGAAAAGATGTTCTCTCTTGAAAACCTGAGGAAGTTTCCCGAGGGTTTAAATCAAGACGTACCGACCGGATGACACCACCGTTCAAATCGGAAAACAAGAAGGCCAGGAGGACGATAAAGAAGAAGGTTGTGAAACTCACCAGAAGACGTCGGAAACGGAGTTTTTTCAGGAAAAACTTTGAAAACGACTCGCACCGGAAGGACCAGGAGTCAACAAAGGGTTTTACTGACTGTGATTTTAAGAGAAGATGCTGTCGATGATGGCTGAGGAAACAGAAACTCCGGCGAGCAGATCAGAAAAGGCGTATTCTGGGTCAGAGATCGGAATGGCAAAACAATGGAAACCGGAGAAGAACCCCCTTTATATAGGGGGGAAACTGTCATCATTGGGCGGGAGAACCAAAAACAGCGCATTTAATGCGCACGACATCCCAAGACAGGGAAAGCTGCTCGAGGCCATAATGAAGGACGGATGGCAGTTGGAAAACCCTTCGTCTCCTGACAACGCGTGTCCTCGGCGTCAGAAGATCGAAGGCTGGGGGGCAGTTGATGGGACTCTTCTGAAAAGCCTATGATGAAGACACGTGTCCTCGGGGGGGGTTTCTAGAACAATGTTGCTCGGGTTCAAGCACCATCGGCAAAAGCGTCCTCTCCCCCGAGGTACCTCTCATATAGGATCACATATTCGGTACATTATACAACGACATGTGTCCTCGGTCACCATGTACCTCGGGAACACACCACCCCTTGGTCCCCCGAGGTGAGCCTTTCCTCGGCGCCGAGGGTCACTCCATCCTGGACGCTTCCTCTACTCACGGATAAAGTTACTGACGTACGGGACATCAGCCTATGCCAGTCTAGACTATTCATCATGACCTCTTCTTACACAAGTAATGTCAGAACGTGCTGGAATACCGACGTAACAGCCAATAAGGGATGGACGCGTGGCAAATAATGTCACATCCGAAGCAGACAAACCGCATGCCGCTGCTGGCACGCGACTTGGGAAAGCAAACAATTAATTGCACCCTTCTGTTGACGAGACCGCATTTAATGCGGTAAGGTTCGGATATGAAAGGCAATAAATGCTCCTATTACAGAGCATTTATTGCATCCTTCCCGAAAGGAGCATATTGTACCGTCGGCGTCCCGACAACTCACCATTGATTGCTCGGGACCCCGAGCAGTCAATTAGAGAAGACATTCCTCATCAAATGATTACACACGCTACCTGTGCCTGATGATCACCTACTGACCACACTGACAGCAATCATGATCTTCTAAGGTATAAATACCCCTCCCAAAAGACAAAGCGGGGATGCAATCACAAACTCTACTACAAAATATCCTTCTGTGTTTTCTCCTTCCTCTCTCTCATTCAAAGACTGACTAGACCGTCGGAGGGGATACGCCGGAAAACACTCCGGCGCCCTTCTAACTGGTTCTCCTTTGTTCCAGGAAATACCTTTCACACGTACAGGATCGTTCTTCCTTTCCCAGGATCTTCCTTTGCCGTTCCAGGTTGCCATCGTACCTCGCAGGTTGTTTCAAGCAGCGTGTTTGGCCACTCAACCGGCTCACTCAGAGTTCACCAGGGGAGAGATCTGTTCCCAATATTTTATATATCGTGCAAGATCGAGCCCGCACAGGATACATATTCCTTGTATTGCATGCATGGGTTCATCGCTAACATATATTTATATTATGTTTTATTTTTCTCTAAGTTTTAAAAATTATAAAAGACAAGTTTTTATGCTAGCATGAAATGGGAAAAGTATTTTTGAACGGCGTAAGTTATTTTTAGACTCATTTTAACATCAATTCAATTTAAAATAAATATAATATACATTTATATATATATATAATAAGTACAAAATAATTCAAATTTTAAAAAATAAATAAAATGACTTTTGTTATTTGTGGATGAGATCATTTTAAATTTTATTTTAAAGTTAATATGATGGCTAATATTAAAATCTCAAATTTAATAAGAAAAATAGACTTTAAAGGTGTGTTTGGAATAATTTTTTAAAAGTATTTCTAAAAATTATTTATCATAAATATTTTTTTTTTAAAATAATATTTGGAACCGCTCCACCACCACTGTCGCCGTCGCCGCCACTACCACTATTATCACCACCCTATCACACCTATAGCTCCACCACCACCACCATCATTACCACTACCATCATCGCCCCACCACCATCACTACCACTACCACCACAGCCTCACCATCACCCCCACGACCATCACAACTACCACCACCATCGCCACCCCCACCTCACCCCTCACTTCTCCACTGCCACCACCATCACATTTGTCACCCACTGCTGATTGCTACCATCGTTGTCCACTGTCATCATCCATAACTATCATCTCACAATTATCGTTGCCTACTGTCAGCACCTATCACTACCATTGTTATCCACCATCACCCACTACCACAACCCACTACCACCCGTCGTCGCCCACCATCATTACCAGCCACTGTCACCCACCCTTACCACACCTACCACCGCCACCCGTCATCCACCACCACTACAATCACTCATTGTCACCTAACCCCATCACACTTACCACAACTGTCATTCGCCACCACCCATCATACTGTCGCCTAGAAGCATCTATTGTCGCCCTACCACCACCATCGTCACTGCCCACCACCATCACCATTGTCACCGCCCATCATCACCGTCATCCACCACCACCCACACCCACCACCACCGTCATCCATGGCTGACACTACTATCATCGTCACCTAAAACCCACCACTATCATCACCGCTGTCACTCGCGGCTGCCACCATCACCACCACCACGATTATCGCCACCCACCATAACCATCACCGTTTCTCACCACCACCACTGTTGTCACCCCCACTAACACTGCTCACCCTTATTATAATCAGTACTTAAATTCTTTATCTCTCATTTATGTTTGGGATTTGATTTTGAGTATGAATACAAATTTCATCTCTCATTTATTGTTGAACATTTTTTTTATTACTCTATGCCTTTAGGCACGAGAAATAACTAGTATATATAATAAAGTACAATACAATTCAAATCTCAAAAGATAAACAAAATAATTTTTATTTTTCACAGTTGAGATCTCTTTAAATTTTACTTTAAATTTAATTCGACGGCTAATATTGACACCCCAAATTTAATAAAAAAATAGATTTTTAAAGATGTGTTTGATCTAACTTTTTAAAAATGCTTTAAGGACTTATAACTTTTTCTACCTACTTTAAACAAAAAAAGAAATGTTTGGAACCGTCCCACTCTCACCCCCACCGCCCCACCACCACCACATTCCCTACTACCACCACCGTTGTCGCTACCACTACTACCACCCATTGTCACCCACCCCCACCACTGTCATTCGCCACTACCCATCATAATATCGCCTAGAAGTATCCGTCGTCGCCCCACCACCATGACTGGCAACAATCATCACTGTCGTCTACCACCACCCACACTCACACCCACCGCCACCATCGTTATTACTCATGGTTGTCACTATCACTATCACCGTTGCCACCCACGGCTATCAACACCACTATCACCCATCACCTCTCACCCCTACTACAACTGATGCTTAAATTTTTTTCTCCTCTATGTTTGTGATTTGATTTTGAATATGAATACAAATATATTTATTGTTGACCATTTTTTTATTATTCTATACCTTCAAATACAAACAATAACTAGTTAATCGATAAATCACATGTTTGAGAAAACCTTTTCAAATTAGGGATAAAATTGTAGTACTTATCTCTCCTAGGCGATTATGGGGCAAAGTCTTCTGCTCTGAATATTCTATAAAGCCGCTTAAGATATTATTAACCCATAAACCTTAAGTTGCAGTAGTTTATCCGTCAAAATTATACAATGCTTAAGCACTGGAATAGCTTTGGCATTGAAGGGTTCTTCACTGCCTTTGGTTTTTTTTGGTCATTATTTGAGAGATGATCCAAAATAAGAAAGGATTTTTTGCATTTTGTACCTTAAAAAATTTTAAAATTGTCACTTTGTTCTCTCAAAAATTAAATTTTTCATATTACACCTTTAATGTATCAAAAGCCAACCCATTGACATACAAAAAAAAACTAACAAAAACTAACAAAAATGTCATATTATAACACTTTTGATATAGTATGAGTGCAATATAAAAAATTTAACATTTAAGAGTACAAAGTGAGAATTTTAAAATCCTTTGAGGATACAATGTGCAATTCACCCAAAAAATTGTGGTGCAACCCATGAATCAAAAAGACAGTCAGATTCAAGCAATGAGATTGAGAAATCTTTTGCATTGAAGAAAATAATTGACAGTTGTTTGGGGAAGTACCAGGATACGCACAGCCAAATTTTGAGCAATATGCATATATATATATATAAAGTAGTAAATGAAAATATGAGAATAAATAGGTTAATTTTTTTTTTCACTGTTTACATTGTTATAACATCGAAAAGGAAAATAGTTAGACAAATCATGTAATTAGAGCGGCTAGACAACTAAGAAAGGACCTGAAGAGTAAGATATACGCAATCTTATATGTAGTAGCTTGAACTACTGAGTCCCAAGCAATCTTATTTTACAGAACAAAAATAATAATAATAATGTAACTCACGAAATAAAGATTAAGATGCCTTTAGAATCCCTTTTCCAACTCAATCTAAAGGTTAAAGTGCCAAATACATGGGAATGCTCTCTGTATGATTTGTATGGATCTCGAATTACATGTCCATGTCCAAAAAATGAGTATATATTACAAACTTCCAAAGAATATGAGGTAATAGAATATGTATATATGTACACTTTACTCCAAGCTATCGTGACGTATAATTTGAAGCTTCCATGATGAAGTTGTCGGTATTTCCAAAATACCCCGGCATCTAACTAGAGTCTTCGTTACTATAGAACACAATCACAATCAGCTCTAAGGTCACAACTGTCTGTTATATAAGTCAATCATGGCAACTTTCTCCTGCAAATGGCGGAGCAAACGGAAACGGAATTAAGAAAGAAAAAAAACAGGCGACAGGAAGTAATTTCTTCGTATCTGCTGTAGCAAAGTAATTTGTGCAAGCATATCTAGCTATCAACAGAGAATAAAAGGTGAGAAGGGAAATGTTACAACCATACAACCAATATGAGGTGCTTCTAAAATATTAGGTATGTCACCCCTGTCGAGCGACCGCACCAGTTATCGATACCTTAGCTCCAACTTACAGCCATCAATGTCCGCCATCTCGTACATTTACTCTTAGATTTTTAGTGAAAATTTAGCAAGTTTCGCTTAGTTTTGTACACCCACTCAGAATGGTTGCTGGACAAAGTTAGTCTTTTGCTGATAAAGAAATCGGGTTGCTCACCTGGGCATGGTAAAAAGCAAGTCGGGTGAAGGAGGTGGCTCCATACTGGAAAATTAGGGATTGTTAAGAGGCCATGAAAAGTGTGGTTTTAGAAAAAAGTTGTTACGATTTGAATTATTTTGATGGGACAACTTGGGGTTAAGCAAGGTAAAGGTCATCCCTTATTCCCTTTCTCCGGAATGGCTGGATGCCTGAGTTATTTTCAGTGGCTATTGGGCAATGCTCCAGTTCACTTAACATAAGATGGAAGAACTTGTTGATCTCGTTTGACAACAAAATGAGCAATTATAATCGTCATGATGGTGTCTGGACTGTTAAGGATGTGTGATTGTGATAGATTTCAGAACATAGCTCTTCAAATTGTCAACAAACCAAATTTCAATTCACCACTCTCTCTTTCCCGGAAGTCTACATCCTAAAAGAAGCAGCCGCAGATATTTTGTACAATGAAGAAGAGTTGATTAATCATTTCGTAACATAATTGTTATGACTCAATACAAATTGCAGATCACTATTCTTACTTTAGCAAGCCTAAGCTTCACAAGCAATTGACTACACAGACCAAGTGCTATTCTATTTCTATCTTCTACTGTTCCTAGTAATCCTCAAAAAGTTCTGTATCTTAATTTGTTAGAGAATTGACGTTCTCTCTTGGGGGTTGTGGGGGTTTGTCCAGGCTGCAGGGGTGGGATTTGGGAGAGATGGAGGGGTGGGGACTGATGCCCCTACTCCCTTCCTTTTTTCGTTTTAATTTGACTAATTTTGGCTTTTTTTGCCTAATTTTGACCAAGACAGAGACGGAAATATTGTAAAATGACAAAATGTTAGTTGGTAACAGGATTTGGGATTTAGTGTAATTCCTGAGAGCATAGGAGGTGACATGTATTTCTACAATACTTCGATGGGTAATGTAACCTATTGTAAATCAAATACACTCACTATTTTGCCCCCAATGAAATTTATCGCTTTCCACTATCCAAAACTTCATGGTAGGTGTAGGAATGTTGTTCTAAATGCTATGCTCCTGCTTTCTCTCAAAGGTTTTATCTGTGCCTTTATAAAGTTTTAGGCCAGTTATTTCTTTAAGAGGATATATCATGAGACGAGTTACTAACAAGAAGATGGCCTTCGGTAATATATTTTGTGCTCTCAGTAATTTCCAAAGTATTTTTGTGCTGCAAGGATTCCTGCTAATTTATTATCATACGTCAGTTTGTACTTTGTATTCGCCATTAACAATGGGAGATAGGTATCACCTCATTCTGCACGCCACTCTCTGAAGGAAACCAGTGCATGAGGACTCCCAAGTGCATAACTGCAGGTATCAATTTGAACAAGACAGGAGTTGTCACCTGTACATCATTCACCACACAAACATTAAATAAGGGACGGGGGAATAGGAAGCGAAAAACGGAAAAAGAGAAGAGACAGGGAAAAAAAAAAAAGAAGGGATGTTACAAGTAATAAATTTACCAGACTGAAAGCCGTTGTCCCAAGAAGAAGAAGATACATCTTGCCCTAATAAATTAAACAGAATCTTAGTTAGCAAACAACAAAAGACAAAAGTTTCAATGACAAAGTAAAAGAAGGCCGACGATATCAATTAATAGAACACATAACAAGGAAAGAGAACTAATTAGATTAAGGAGACTCATTTTTTTTGTTGAGGGCCGAGGAGGTAGCAACAAACATCAATTTCTGAATAACTTTTAAGTGTAACAGAATGAAAAAAAATTCAATAACATTGAATATATCTATTATGAGTATGTCAAACACAATATATAATAAAATATATAGTCATAGGAAGCGATCAAGTGCTGTAGATATCAACAGGTGTCTGCATAAGCATGTATTTACAGAGTAAGAAATTACCTCAACAAGGTGTAGATTTGAGGCACGACTTAATAGGACGAAAGCAAATTCTCCAATTTGAGCAAGAAGTACTCCAACCTGTGAAAAATACTAAAACTAAGTCCCAAAGAGGCAAATTTTACTTGGCCAATGGAAGTCAGATTTAGCAAGCCAACTTACCACAAATGATGTCCTAATGCTATATCCAAAGGCTTTTGTGATCATAGCAGTAACAGTAGTCTTTACCACTATGACCAGGATAACAGAAGCAAGCAATATGTCCACATGGGTCCACAGGAACTGTACATGTATAAGCATTCCAATGCTAGAAAGGAACAGTGCAGCAAAAAGGTTGCGAATTGGTTCTACCTACATCATGAAAAACATTGTATTTGAAACTTTTTTCTAATCACAAAAGTCCGTACAGCATATGTAATTATATAAATAAAGCCACATAGCCAGAAATCTCAAATTATGTTTGACCAGAGATGTCAGCAGTAAAATGTTTTTTATAGATCTCATTTACAAAATATTATAGTTTCAGTGCTTTTACAAATGGAAAATGAGAAAACTTGGCAATCAGAACCACTCTCAAGTTTTGCAATGGTGAAAGTATGCGGTTGTCTTAATCAAAAGAGATATTCAATCTCAATTACTTTCAGGTGAATTTCAATGATATCATTACGGTTAACAATAAGATAGTCCATGCATTGGCAAGCAGGTAAAACAACTCTCCACATAAAAATTCAACTTTAGACAGTACGTCAATAATGTACATCAAAATGTATGGAAACCATTTAAGTACACTTCATATTTGTTTACCTTTGCCCATCCTAGGGTTTCATCTACAGGTGCAAAGGCCATAACTGAACGTTGGTCAAAGCAACCCAGCTGATGGGAGGAATGGAGAGCATTAACATGATATTGGCTATATTCACATGAATGGTTGCCATGACACTCAAACATGCATTTTCACACTTCATAGCCCAAGCTTTAACAATTGCACCTAACAATGGTGCAATGCTGTAAAAAGAAGAGGTCATACAATGTTTCCTCATTTTCTGTGATGGCTTGATTCCAAAAAAAAAAAATTTGATAAAGGAAAAAGTGGGATGGCCCAATCGCCCTGGGACCATCCCAACTGTGGTAGGTCACAGGTTCAAGTGACCTACTCTCCTCTCCCATATGGGTGCAACACCAAACAATACATCCAGTTTCCTAGTGCAAAGCTTAAATAAAAAAAATGAAGTTTCAGACTTTGAGCTTCCAAGCAAAAAATGCAGAAAGCTAAACATTCCTCTAAAGGGATGGTCACATAAGCTACAAGCACATAAACCATAAAACTGTGAAGTACAGAGCACAATATTTTAATGAAGTGGCATGCCCAATGGTCCAAAAGATAAGTCAACAACATGGACTTTCTACAGGGGCTTTCATTCTATACTTCTTTGCACATCATGCCACACACACACACACACACACACATATATATCAACATGGATAATAAAAGTTAAAGCACAAGTTGAAGGGAAGGGCACCTGGTCCAAAGTATGCTGTGCAAAGTCAGTAGTTGATATCATCACCCCAGCCACAAACGACCCCAATTCAAGACTAAGGCCCAACTTATCGCTGCACTGCAAAGTTGAAGGGCATATTAGAACTAGAATATTGAAATGTTAACAGAAGGAACTTTAGAAAAGTATTTGATCAAGAAATCTCTTTCTTCTCTCCCTCATTCCCATATTTTGCATGGTCCTCATGGGAATCTCTACTGGCAGTGGCAGGAATTGCATTTTCAGGGGATTGCAAAGCTCAATAACAACTATTTTTGTAAAAATGATAAAGAATATCCTTTTTCCGAAAAAGAAAACACCACTGCCAAACCTGAATCACTGAATAAAATGATACAATAAAACCAATTACTAGCCACTAGGTATCTCATTCTTGATAATGAAATTTTAATCCTAATCTCTAAGGGCCTAAACTCCATTGTTATCAGGAAGATATTGATAGAGACCAAAGAGGTAATCGCCAATTAGGGTTACACCTCGTGGATGAAGTTTAATAGACGGAGGCATTGTGTGATGGCAATGGAGGGAAACGCAAAGGCCTCGAGGCATCCCAGAATGTGTATGTGTGCATGTCGGTTGAGAGAGAGAGAGAGAGTGAGTGGGTGAGGGAGTGAGTGAGACTGAGAGCATGGGGTACCACGTAGATCAGCAATCTTGGCTCCATCAGAAAAAAATTGCGATTCGAACAATCATTGTACATATCACTATAAGGATGCTGGGGGACTTGAGTAAATACTCTGAGCAAAATTCAGGTCAACAACTCTTGCTCAGACTTTGGTACAGTATGAAGAGGCAAACAGTATTTATGGTGATTATTGAGTGAAGGACAACTGAGTCTCGCACGGCATGAATAGCATCTCAAGGAGGTGTACAACCACATGATAGTTTGCGTGAGGTGAAAAAGAAAATATTCGACAATTGAGATCACATTAGGGCTGGCTGAATTTTTATGTCAGGAATGTAGAACCTTTCCATTTCACGACTGGGGCAACGCACAATACCAACAAGGGGTAAAAACCTTAGCAAGTATTAATCCTAGCCATCAACCTTATATCTCTAACGTTCCAATGATGTGTTGTGGGGACAAGCCGCCCTTCACAGTGGGATGCTTATGTGGAGCAATAGCAATGGAAGAAACTTAGTACACTCCCTCAGAAGGGATCTGTCCAAGAGGCCTTGTTCTTGTAACAGAAGGGCACCAATACATGCATGAGCTTGGTGTGTTGGTATAAAGGAATCCTTATTTGGAAATCCCATTTGCACCTGCAATGGATGCCTTTGCAGTACAATTGTTGGGATAAACTTTTGAGAAACCTTACCTTCTCTATGACCAGCTTGCCAATTTACCATCATGTATGCTAAAACTACCCTTCTGCAAGTTTAACCCTAGAGGTTACTGACAAACACGTCCATTATCCTCTACTAAAGCCCACCAGATGCAGAGAACACTTTAATTAATTACCACCATAACTCCCTAAGCAGTGTCCGAGTGTGAGAGCAAATCCTACACATCAGCCACTCCACTCTCCCACTCTATAACCTATTGTGAACTAAACTTGCATAAACCAATTTCATAACGCATTCCAATCCTAGTCAATTGTACCACAGATAACTGGAGATAACATATTCTTATGGCAGAATTACACACTCACAACATAAACTGATGACCAAGGAAGAACCTAATTAAGCAAGATACAAATTTTTAACCACTATAAACAAAAATTCATGAGAAAGAGTATGTGATATATTGTTCTTACCCAAGCAGATAATAAGCAAAAAGCCACTGCAGCCAGCTGGTAAAGTTCATTAGTCTGACGATCACAGATGAATGCAAATTTAGGAATAAAACATCAGTCAAAACAAAAAAGTAAACAAAGCCACACAAAGCAAAATACAAAGTTTAACCGGAAATGGACAAATAGTTACCATCAGATCCAAGCAGCAAATAAGGAAAGCAGGCAAGTTGGGTTAATCCAATCAGACCAGAAGTCCGAACCAGTAAATTCTATTCACAATTTTATGTCAGAAGTGGATACTCCTTAACTAAAGTCGATGGTACCCTCCAACATTTTACTCTTCATCACCATAATATCTCACCACAGATTATGTCCCGTAGTAGCTCCAGCGAATAAACTAGAACTACAGTTGATTTGGTTTTGGCTGAATCTATCTGTGTGTGAATTTAATCCCAAAAGGAAGATACTGTGTCTAAATCCAAAATTCATTCAGATACTACTCAAATACGAATAAGGTACTCGTCAAATGTTAGATTGGTTGATAATTTGCCTTGGAGTTGAATAACCCAAACTTCAAGTATACATTTACAAGTGGGTATAAAAGTGCATATGAATGCCTTTCAGGATATTTAAACTTGTGTATACCAATCACTTGATTAAAACTGGATCTTCACATCTAAATTGCCATCATAGAAACTAACAGATTGGACGGCAATATACAAAGAACATGATGCAACTAAATGAAACAAAATAAGGTGTCATTCCAAATTTCTTTGTTAATATCTGAGATAGGCAAACATTTCAAAACTGTGACTTTGAAACCTTTAAGGCACCACCCCATTGGGATAGGTGATTTCATTTCAGAATGAAGAGGGGTCAATAAGCTTCCGAATTGTCAAAAATCCTGCAATAGTTCGTCACTCGTCTTGTATGACTTGATTAATTTTCCTTTTAATTAACTGCCCACTATTGCATAGCTAAAGATCAAATTTGGGAAAACATATTATATGCACAAATCCCTCTAACTGTGCCAACAAGATTAAATGACTCATATTTTAGGATCACTTATATTCATGTAATCATAACTTGAGGAAAACAAAAAGAGAAGTGAATTACATCACAAGAATGGTTACTGGGACATCAAATTTTCATTCATGGCAAAACAGAGGTAATAACTTACTTGAGATGATAGATGTGTCATTAACTTCAAAAATCGAGGAACAAATGACCAAGTCAAAACAGATGCAGTAGTGAGATATAAGGACAAAACCAGCAGCCTAAATCGCAAAAAAAAAAAAAAAAAGTTAAAACTCATATGACCGTATTCACACTTGAAAGTATGCTTGAATGTGTGCACTCACAACGTAGGAACTTAAGCCAAAAAAAAAAAGTGGATAGAGTGTGCTGATAAAAAATTTACAATAGTTGAGGCCTCAGCTTATAGTAACAGCATGTGATGATAAGGAGAATAAGAGTGTGCTGATATTGTAACTACTACAGTTGAGGTCTCAGCTTATAGCAACAGCACATGACGATAATAAGAATAAGAAAGCGCCTGCAATACATGAGATGAGAAGAATGGAGAGACAAAATCTAGAGCATAATATTGACTTACAGCTTCCCCATTGAGGCCATTCCTTGCAAAATGCCGCTGTTACCACCCAGAACTGGGAGCAAAGCAAACAGTAAACCAACAGCACAATCCTGGAAAAAACCAATTGTGAAGGAACGAATTAATATATAACTAAAAAAAAAAAAGAAAAACAAGCATATCGGCTCAAGTGTCATCTAGTTACTAATGGCCTTACCACATAAGATGAAGTTGTTTCAGAATTACCTGAAAAATAAGGATTCCAATAGTCACTTGACCATGAAGAATGTTATTACTATTCTTCTCAACCAAAAACTTCACCACCTATTAAAATAAAGTGAGCAAAACAGCATCCATGGTCAGAATGTAGCAGCTACAAAAGAAAAGATGGACAGTATCAGTAAGTGATCAGAAAATTTACCACTGCTGTTGAAGACATTGAGAGGAAGCAACCGACAAATACACCATCGGACAACTTTGCTCCGCACAACTGCGTCAGTCAGTAGATTGTGAAACTCAGCACCAATTTCAAATCAAGAAGTTCAATTGATAGACTTGTACAAGTATAAAAGCAAGTTCTCAGAAACATACCATAGCAGTTATGCCACACAAGAACATAAGAATGACTATTTGTAGCAGTCCTCCAAGAACAGCAACGGGACCAACCACTTTTAGCTGCATCAGTGACAAGTTAGGGAAGATTCCAGAGAAGTTAGTGAAGAAAAAAAACCCTCAAGTGATTGGTCAATGACAAATCATAAGCACACGTTGGCAAACCTTTGTCAAAGAAAACTCCAGTCCTAAAGCAAATAGCAGGAAAACAACACCAAACTGAGCAAAAGTCTCAACCTGGAATGACATACAAATTCAACCTCCAAAATTACCATATATATTTGCTTACAAAAATATAGTCTGATAACAGCAGTCAAAAATAATAGTTCGGCATCTCTATGGGCTGTAGTTACCAATGAGTTTCGAGATATTTCTCTATCAGCTCTCCAACACAATTGGAAAGCTGCTTGTATTCCTTAATTTTGTTTTGATTTATTTGCTTTAATTTTTACTCTTTTAGGAGGGTTTCTTGAAATGAAAGTGTTGTTCCTAATCCAAAAAAAAAAGATGCACCAATAAATAATGGTTCATTCAGATTAAAGTACTGCATAGTTCAGTTGAATTGGATTCTTCATTCTTCTCCAAAAGTAAAATACAAAGATTCAAGTTATCATCTTGTTTTTTCTTTCTTCCTAAAACTCCTCAACATGATTATTAGTATCGTACGATACTCGATATGTATCGTACAATACATCACGATACACCTGAAAAACGATGTGTATTATGTCTCTGTATCATTTTTGTACCGTATCGTACGATACACGATACGTACGATACAATATGTCTGATACGTGATGATTTTGGTTTTTGTTTTTTTTTTTTGAGCTAAATGAGACATCATTTTACCTTAAAACTTATTTTTAAAACACTAGTTAGTGAAACAACATCGTTTTAATAGTTGTTGTAGTTTAAAAAATAAAATAAAGTATATTGTTAATGTTTATTCAATTGAGTTCAAAATTCCTAAATTAATATTAAAGTTATTCAAGCAAGTT